ATTTTTGCTGTTCGTACTTTTTTTCTCTAACTAATTTTCTTATTTCTCGGCGGGAAGTTGCATAGTTTTCTTTACTTTCTGCTGGTCCTTGTTAAAGCATAATGTTTCGCTTTATCACTCTGTCGTGTAGTTTTTCTTGACATTCTCTATCAAACCGTTTCCTTGTAAGTATCATTGACTTCTTTTATCCAAAGTGTGAATGAGCTTTTTGCATTGAGAGAGGCGTCTAAGGTCTTCTGGTAATTCAGAACCAGTTGCTTGATACAGTAGGGGAGAAGAGTCGATGGTGTTTGTTGCGCGTATTTAGATGTACTTCTTATGAGACATAACTTAGTTACCGGGGTTTTGTGATTTATTGTATTGTATGCCGCTGTGAGGCCCACTAAGGCTACCCCCACTATGTGCACTCTATTAGATTTAATAGTGACACATCGATACTAGTAGCTAATGAAGTCGAAATGATTACAATCACCAAACGACACTATCAGGCAAAGACAATCAATGGTCAGAACCACAAAAGCTGAATTAATTAAATTATGGAAAGATCGGAAAATAACAAGACATAATAAGCTTAGGGATTGGTCAGTGCTCTTATTTTTCCCATTGCTACATACACAGCTAAAATACGGACCCTCAAACAAATCGATAGGATTCAGATCGAAACTTTTAAAATGTGGGTCTATAGAAGAATTTTATGCATAAGCTGGGCAGAACATAGAACCAACCTATTAATTCTGAAAGAGCTTCATATAAAAGACAGGATATTAAAAAAATTAAACCGAGCGTAACTAAATTACTTCGGCAACATACCTAGATATTGTTCTGAAGCTATTTTCTTGTGGCATTGTAAATTAATTACTATTTATAACTGGGAATAAGCCACAATTAAAGATAAAAATACGTTTATTGACGTTTCAATTTCCAATTCGGAAATCGTTCTCAAAATACAAACAGTAAATTAAACAAATTTTGTTTTTTGTTACATAGTGAAAAAATTCTTCTAATAATTTAATTTTATCTGACTCATTTATATTGACAATTCAGACATACATTATGCATTTTAAAGTAGACGACTTTAAAATGATATTGCCAATATTGTTGAGTTGCGCTCCTGGGATGACTTTACTTATAAGATAGTTCATTCGATTACATGAAATCAACTTTAACTTGAGAATATCCGTCAGAAAAAATCATAGCATCTAATTCGTCTTTAAAAAGACAAACACATGACATGATGACAGTAAAATTCTCCTGTTAGTGATTCCATAGTAAATTATGAGGGAAAAACCAGGAAAAAAAACTTCATAATACTATCCCGACATTGTAAGTATTTGTTCGTGAATTTAGTTTACCTTCAACAAACATCAAAAATTCTGATTTTATATGTTACGTTATTTAAAAACATAAATGATGTATCCTCTATATGTTACTGACTTACTAATACTGGTATTTTCTTATTAATAACTTCCTCTTTCAATATTGGTAACAATAATAAGTAATAAAAAATATAATCAAAATAATAAAAATAATAAAAAGTAATAATAGCAAATTCCTCGGCAGAATGTAGTAGGATCTGGTTACCAATATTGAAAGAGGAAGTTATTAATAAGAAAATACCAGTATTAGTAAGTCAGTAACATATAGAGGATACATCATTTATGTTTTTAAATAACGTAACATATAAAATCAGAATTTTTGATGTTTGTTGAAGGTAAACTAAATTCACGAACAAATACTTACAATGTCGGGATAGTATTATGAAGTTTTTTTTTCCTGGTTTTTCCCTCATAATTTACTATGGAATCACTAACAGGAGAATTTTACTGTCATCATGTCATGTGTTTGTCTTTTTAAAGACGAATTAGATGCTATGATTTTTTCTGACGGATATTCTCAAGTTAAAGTTGATTTCATGTAATCGAATGAACTATCTTATAAGTAAAGTCGTCCCAGGAGCGCAACTCAACAATATTGGCAATATCATTTTAAAGTCGTCTACTTTAAAATGCATAATGTATGTCTGAATTGTCAATATAAATGAGTCAGATAAAATTAAATTATTAGAAGAATTTTTTCACTATGTAACAAAAAACAAAATTTGTTTAATTTACTGTTTGTATTTTGAGAACGATTTCCTAATTGGAAATTGAAACGTCAATAAACGTATTTTTATCTTAAATTGTGGCTTATTCCCAGTTATAAATAGTAATTAAACATACCTAGAAGAACGGCAACCATGGAAATATTGCTAGTAGAAGAAAAAGGTAGAACTTTTGAAAATTAAGGCAGATATCGAACACAAGTTTAATCAAATCTTGCCCAATTACTTTTGCTATCTACAGCATTATCAGGGGCATTTTGTCAAATTTTGGCTATCCAGCAAGCGTAGAATGTAATACACATCAAAATGGACATAAATTTTGGACATACAAATGGACAAACATTTTAAAATTAATAAAAGTATTCTGACGCTCTACATTCTTGTCGGCAATCGGAGAGAGAACGAAATAAGGAATGATGAAAACGAGTTTTAGTACTTGGCCTGTGCAGACTTTGCTTAACTTAAAGATTTCTTTTTGCGAAAAGAGTTTTTGCATGTCTTTCGTTTTAATTGATACTGGTGACATAGCAGAGACATTGAACGGTAGCTATTAGATAGACTTAGCTATTAGGTAGACGGTTATTTGTCATATGAGCCAAGCACTCATTTTCTCTATATTGACTTGAAGTGCCTCATCTGTTATATTAGTATTTCATTTATCTCAAGCGATTTATCATTTTTATAACGTCTACGCTCTTTTTCGGTTCTTTTAGAAAATGCTTCGTAAATACGTCATAAATATAAAGAAAGTCAACCAATAATAACTGGTGTTGACTAAAATACAAGCAAGCCTATAACTAAGTAATTTTCTAGCCAACACTGATTTTAATGGCTCGATTATACTATAAATTCGTAAACAATTCGTATAAAAAAATGTAACGTTCCAACGAACATCCATTGGACGTCAATCTATGACATGCCAACAAATATTCATAAAAACACATTCACATTCATTCATTCAATATTCCAACCTGTAACCGCAAACCTTAGTTTGCTGCTACAACCTGACTAACATCACTAACAACGATGGAGTGACAAATCGTTTCCCGTTGGGACCAATTTTTAACGTCATTACCCCTAATGTATCAATTACAAAATTGCTACATTAGACGTTATACGAAACACTCCCTGGCTAGCTCACTCAGGACGTGAATATGGCCTACTCTGGAGCAACACACACAAACAAGTAAAAAGAAGAAACAATACACAGTAAAATTAACACATGTTTATTAAAATATAAAAGAAAACAGAAAAATAAATGTTAAGTATCGTATTGAATTTAAATAAAAATTATTCGACTTCTTGCTACAGTGTTACATTAGGTATATGAAACAACAATTTTTGTCACCAAATCCTAAGTTTTATCCTGGTCTTTTCTGCTCTGGTTGTTAGCAAGCCATGTTGTTAGTTTTGGATTTTCTTGTCCCGGAGTCAACTCTCCTATTGGAATGATGGTTCCATTCTCAGGCCGGTTGGTCTTCTGGATGTTAATAGAATTTGACCCGCCCCTGAGAAATGTATCCCGGAGGTTGACTAAAATGAAGAAAAACACACCTTGCTTTAGAAAATGGTGAAACCAAAATGGGAGACCTTGCTTGGGGGATGAACAAGGTGACCAATCAAATTTAACAAAATTTTCTCATTATTCACCCAAGCAAGTCGAGAAACAATTCTTATTTATGTACTTGTAGGCAAATAAGTAAAAGTAAGGATACATATAACTTTAATGCAAATGGTAATTACTTTTTTAAAACTGAAATATTCTAATATTAATTAAAAAAAAATGACAAGATATATTTATTGAAAAGCTAGATAATTTAGAAACATTGCTATATAGAAATAGTAGTTTGTCAAAAGTTAATTATTATTAAAATCAAAAGATATTATGGATTTAAAATTCATATTTAAAACTATAAAAATCTTCGTAAAACTTTTAAATACTATATTAAAGAAACTATATATTTCTTATCGCTAGTTTTTTATATAAACTAAAAAACATAAGAGATATCCAAAAAAAAAAGTATCTACTTACATGTCATACCGTTATCATAAATAATGAGCTTAGAATTTTCAAAGTTAAAATTATAAAAAGATTTTTATACAACAGGTGGAATTAGGAAATCGATAAAATATATTATACACTTACCTCCAAATCTGGAGACGACACAACAATTGGTTATTCTACTCTTAGAGAAGTCATGAAGAAAATCGACATTTTTAGAAAATAGAAGTCTTTATATCGACTTTTGTATCGAACGGGAAGGAGGAATATGTCGACAGAGAATAAAGATGGGACCTCTCGTTCCAAAGTAACAGAAATAGAGATGAAAATAAAATTCACTCTTTAGAAACTTGAGTAAAAGATAAAAATGATGATTATTAAGAAAATAGGAAAGGTAGATACTAAAATATATATATATATATATATATATATATATATATATATATATATAAAGAAGATAGATTTGGACGCCAACTGGTTTTTATACCAAATACCAGTAAAAATGAAAAGAGAATAATGAATCAATTAAGTAACGACATAATTCTGATACAATCTATATCCTAGAAAATATATAGAAAAATAAGAGATACAATTGAGGATATAGAAGAATATGAATTATGACAGAAGATACGGAAATTGGAGAATAGAATTAACGAAATATATTAACATAAGAAAGAAAGCAGGCAATGTAGCAGTTATAACGCTACATAGTTTCTGTTAAAAAAGAGTCATAACTAATATCGGATTTGGTATTGTGGATACGGATCGATGGACTTGTTAAGATTTAAACAAAATCCTTTATGGTTATTTCTTAAATATGTATGTGCTTTATAATTTAAGTTTTCTCTAAGAAAACGTATTGGTTTCATATCTAAAATTGTTTTCCTTTTATTTTAGGTGGCCTTCCACAACATTTTATATTAGAAGTATATGATTCGGGGAACGGGCTCTCATTAGCGAATGTCTCATCCAAATTTCCCGTCTTCATCGTGAGCGGTCTTGATCCAGGAAAGTCTTTAAAAATGATTGTTTATGCTGCAAATAGTAAAGGAAAAAGTGAACAAATCCCATTGGAAGGGTTTACGTTAAACATAGCTGAAAAACAAACTGGTAAGTGTATTTATGAGTGTATTTTTTTAGATTTCTTAAAATCTGTTTCTGTAATTGTTTTATTTATTTATTTATTTCTGCCTCAATCTCAATGGGTCATTGACGTAGTACAATTTAAATCTGTTTATTGTATTTAGTAGATGCATTTATGGAGTATTATGGATGCATTAAGTTTGATGACAAATGTTTCATATAGATTCCGTCACTTAGTATCGCTTGTAAAACATCTTGTAATATATGTTCAAGTCGCTCCATGCCTGGAATTGTTGAAATATTATTGAAATTTATGAAACCTCAAATAAATCAAAAGTTTCAAAACATTCACTTCGGTGCTTCAGCAAGTAATATAAAACTTATTTAATTTTGTGTTAGTAATAATTTTGTATATGTTTTTATAAAAGAAAATATGTACTGGATATCATTTAAAAAAATATCTTTGTAACATTATTTTTTAAATTTTTAATTTTACTTTTTTCGGTTACATATAATTTTTTTTTAACTTCTAATGCTTTATGTGGAATATTTTTTTTTAATTTATATGAATATTTTCGTTTTTTCCCGTAATAAAAACCAGCGAAACATTTTCATCCTCTTCGTCTTCCTCTTTATAAGCAATTCTGCTTGTTCGTTGGCGAATTGATATCTCTATGAAAGTTTGTTACTCCATCGTGTGCTCGGTCTCCCAATATTTCTTCTAACGATTGGTGATTCATCTCTCGCTATTTTGATCGCACGAGTTTCCTCCATTCTGTTTAGTTCCTTCTTTTTTCCTTTTTGGTATCCTTTCGTTTATACACTGTAAGTTAAATTTTCTTGGAACTCTTTAGATTTCTCAGCGTATTTCTTGTAAAGATTCTCAGTATTCTTATCCCTGAGTAAGGTAACCTGGTATCAGCACACAAGAGGTCTAAAATCGATAAAAGATTATTTCATAACAAGACAACAAACTAAGTTAAGAGTACAGGACCTAAACGTGAATAGAGGAGCAGAGTGCGGCTTGGGCCACTGCCTGATAATAGGAAAACTGTATACACCATTCGTAGATATGAACCACACAGACATCAACAAATAACATAGAGAAAAAATAGAAGAAACTACGTATACCTTAGACAATCTAGATAACGAAAGCACACAGTTACTTTACTCCTGAAGACTAACACAAAAACTACAGGAATCACACAGATCAACGACGAATGAATATAAACATTTAAGAAACTACATGAAAGACGCACTGCTAGAAGTCTTAGGGCCACAGGTACGGAGAGTAGATAAACCATGTTGTTGGGATAAAGAAGTGGAAGAAAAGATAAAAAGAAAGAAGGAAGTACATCAAAAGATATTACAACAGGAAGACAAACAAACAAAACAACAATATAAAAACTTTAATAAAGAAGTCAAACGAGAAGTGGGTAAAAAGAAAAATAGTGCATGGGAACAAAAATTGCCAACACCTTGACAACCATATAGGAGGGACAAAGAGCTCTAAAGTCTGGAAAACTAATAAAACGATGAGAACAACGAGAAAAAACTAAGTCATAATAAATACAATACCAGAGAAAACACATGGGTAAAGCATTTTAAAGACTTATTAACAGAGACAAGAAAAAGGTTTAAACAGACAAATGAACAAGTAGGAGTAAAAGGAAGAACAGAAATATCAATAGAACAAGTGAAAAAGCAGATAAGGGAACAAAATTTAAAAAATCTACAGGTCCAGGTGGAATACATCCAGTTGATTAGGTATGGATCATCAAAATTATTTGAAATGATCCGAAAATTATTCAAAAGATGCTTAAACGGAGAAGAAATTTCAGAAGAATGAAGAGAATCGTATATCTCTCCAATACACAATAAAAAACAAAGACGGATCGTAAAAACTATAGAGGGATCGCAGTGACTGCTACTATAAACCGAAAAGTACTACGAGACCTGATAGAAAATGATATTAAAGGCAAACAACACGAAGAATAAGCGGGATTTAGGGCCGGACGTTCCACAATGGATAATATTTTCATTAAAAATTACAATGGAAAAACGAGTGCAGAAAAATAGAGAAATCTATACAGCTTTAATATATTTGGAAAAAGCATATGGCAGAGTACCGATCTCCCAACTATAGATAGAAATGGGTAACTTGAAAATAAACCCAATTTTTAGTAACGCCACTCAAAAATTCTACGAATAAAACTTTGCAAGAATTAAAATTAGACAAGAAATCACCTCTCCTGTTCAAAACAACACAGGAACTAAGACAAAGGTGCTGTCTGTCTCCCACCTTATTTAAAGTCTATTTGAACATATCCTTGGTGAAATTAGTAAAAAAATGTAGAGACAAGGGAACGAATGTGAAAGAAAACACGCTATATACAGTTTTCTTTGCGGATGACTAGGTAGTAATTGTCGAAGACATCTACGATCTTAGCTATATGGTAAGAAAACGACAAGAAGAATATGAGGTGGCAGGTCTAAACATGAATATGACAAAATTAGAATATCTCTCAGTGGGAACAGATGAAATATGTGACCTAGTCTTGGAAGACGACAAAATCAAAGGCGTGCAATCCTCCAAATATTTTGGGTCATTTTCAACAAGAAGGGAAATAGCGCAGATGAAATCAGGGTAAGACTAAACAAGGGCAGAGCAGCGACCCGTGCCTTAAACTCTCTTCTCTGGCAAACAATTCGATGAGAAACCAAAAAACACATTTACGGTAGTATAGTCCAAAGTACTACACTTTACGGTTCGGAAGTATGGGACGTCTTAGTAACAAAAAGCTAATAGAAACAAACTCATGACGATAAAAATTGATTATCTGAGATGAAGCTGCGGCAGGTCGAAACTGGAGAGAGTTAGAAACAAACAAATAAGAAACGAAATAAAAATGGACCGAAATATCAATGATGGCATAGAGAGAAAACAAGTAATCTAATTCGGACATGTTAAAAGAATGTCAGGGTACGGATGGCCTAGAAAAGTACTAGAATGTTGTATTGTTTGTGTTAAAAAAAGTCGCTATGAAGGACACCTTAGCATGAAGTGTGTGTTCCTGTTTAATCCTTTTTGTATGGTCACCCAATACAGTTGCCTTTATTTTGATAGTAAATCAAAACATTTGACAGACGAAATTAGCAGACTAAAAAGAAATTATTTAGAAGATCTGCCAGCTCACCCCAACGAGGAAGCAAGACAACTATACATCCAACCAGAAGTCAGATGAACATTGATGGGACAGTGGCCAACAGAGTTAATTTGTTAGTGTTAATATTGGGAGTGTTATCAGTGGATAATTTTTTCTCTCATGTATTTGCAATACTCATATTCACTAATAGCTGGTAATAGCATATTGTAAATTTGCAAATAAAAAAAAACAAGCACATAATCGCTATTATACTGTATTAAAAAATAAAGTAAGTTAAAGTAGGATATTATACGAGCTTTAAACGCCTATTTATAGTTCTCATTCGACTGAGTATTAGTTTTACAAGTTTTGTGTAAGATAATTCGATTTTTAAAACTTGTCACAATACCTCTGCATCATTAAGCTCGATCCCATAAATCTTCATACTATACTGGTGCCATAATAGACCTTTAATTCACTTGTATTGTAGCATTTTAAATTTGATTGGTTCTTTGAAGTATATTTAAAGTCGCCTCGTATATGAAATCGTCTTAATAAAACGAAGAATGTTTTCTGTTTTTTAGTTCGTATCTTTCGAAAAGTGTTTTCAATCATTCTAACGTCGTAGAGTAATAAATCCATTTAATTGTTGTTTATTTTACTGCGGCGATTTCTTTTCATGTAAATGCGTTTCAAAGGATATCTACGTCGTTCGTTGGTTTTGCTATCTCAGCAGTTCGTTGATTTTCAAGTTAAGCGAACAAATTTTTAATTTCGTCACTATCGGTGGAGCCGCTGTCAAGGGCAGTTGGTTTCGTTTGTTTAGTCCGAATTTTCATCAAATTCGTAATGTTTTCTTTTGTTATTAGTTTTTTTCATCAGAAGTATTGAAGTTTGGTAGCATGTGTAGTTACAATTTGAGGTTGGTTTATGATATTGACGGAAAAGTGCTTGGGTGGTATTCTTCAAGGAACCGGCAAATTTATATGTGGAGAAGTGAATATTATACTCAAATGTAATGTGTCAGTTTTTGTCTGAGTTAATCACCGATTTGGGTCGTGCTGTGTTTTGAAGAGCTTTGTGTTTTGAGAAGTTTTGAAAAGCCAAGCTTTGAAGATTGCAGTTTAATTAACCCGAAGTCCGATGGTCCAGTGCCCAGCTTTCATCGTATATTTGTTGTCCCTGGTCATTCCAGACCATTTTGCAGCTTGTGAGAAGCATTTGTTTGTTTTGCAGTGTTTTTGAGTAAAGTTTCAGCCCCAAAAACTTTTAAAGGAGATATAATATTCAGTGATATCAGGTACTCTTTTTTTTTTTTTTCGTAAACATTTTTTAAAGTAAAAATGGACATTTTGATTATTATTAATTTTAGGAATTGGCTAACTGTCATATTAATTATTCTTATAAAGTTTTAATATTTAATCTTGGCGTATGACAGTTAGCATTATTTTCTTCGGACATTGGGTACATGCATAACCATAAATTTTGAATTTGTTTTTTTTTGTTTTTAAAAAAAAGTTAATCTCAGTGAGTAAGATCCATTTAAAAAGATATTTTGATTTATAATAAGTATTTAAATAGTTACGACTAGTTGTTGGAACCGCTACAAAATGTCTCCCAAATATTGTCCCCAACGTCTAGAGTTTGCTGTAAACCGATAGCACCATTGTAAGTTGTTCGTGTATGTTGTTATTATTATCTGTATTTGTGTAACTGTTTGTGGTGACACATAAATAAATGTTAAATTTTGTTGTCTTAACATTTTATTTTTTTTTTGAGCTAACCCTTTTTAAGTTTATTTGAAAAAGATATGTTTTTTATGTTTTGATTTTGTTTTCTAATTATTTCCCTAGTTACAACTAGTGGTTGTAATAGGCATAA